TCCGAGAGGGTTGCAACAACACCTAGAGAAACCGACAAGTTAAATCCTTTTAAGGAACTATGTGAAAGTATTCTCGCCATTTTCCAAAAATTCTTACGACTACTAAGAACAATACAACAAATAGAACAAAGAGAAAAACAACTACATTAACATAAACACCAGAAAAAATTGCACTTGAAGAAGAGACAGCTAAGGTAAGGAAAAAGAATGCCAATAAGGTGAAAAGAATGATTTCGAAGAAAAATAAGGAGACACAGTTGAGCTTTTCGAAAGTTGATGATGCTCATTGCTGAGGTGATGACGTTGATTTATTTTTTTACTGTATTTATTATTATATGGTTGCAAGACATGGGTATTAAAAACCATAATGCTAAACAAACTAGAATCATTCAAATTATCGTGCTATCAGCTGAACCTAAAAATATGTTGGGTTTCCAATATGGAAATGGCCACTTCCAATAAAGATGTTTCAAAAATAATGAATTCAGAAGTATGTTCATCAACATCATAAAGAAAAGAAAAGCAGAATACTTTAGCCATATAATTAGAGGACCTAAATATCATCTACTTCAACTTATTATACAAGATCAAGCCGATAGAGAAAGGATTGGGAAATTGTAAACATGATGGTGTCCAACGTCTAAATTCGAACACGGCACCTAAGAAGAAAAAGCACCAGTCTTCCAACTGATTTATCGCATGATATGGGCATATTCTCAAGAGGTTTGGATACAAACTTCTCGATGCTACTGCTGTATTATTGGCATATAGATTGAGCATGGTTCGCAGAGTAATTTTCATGTCCGTGGTATATATGGTATATAGAAAGGGTGACTACTTCTTCCTGCAACACTTGAGCCTTAATAATTTTACCTTCGTAATAGACGTGTCCTACTAAACCCTGAATTTTCTGTTGGCAAGGTACAACTGTATAAGTATTCCATGGATTCTGTATTTATTCCTTCACCTCTGATTTTTATTTGTGTTGGCGCCGCTTTCTTGGGTGTAAAGTATTTTATGATGATTCTTATTTTACATAATACTAGGCTATGGTCGCTACCTACATCTGCTGAGTTAAGGCATCTTACATCAATTATTATCGATGGATGTATACCTCTGTTAGTTATACATAACAGAATCTATCATATACCTTTGTCCACGGGTGATATTGAATTTATATTTGTGTTGGTCTTTGTGGCTTTAAGGGTCTTTGTGATCTTGCAATAAATATATAAATACTGGAATTAAGAAAAAGAAGAATATTTAGCGTTAGTTCCACAATTAATTCATAAAAGAGACTAATGGAGATTATTATCACTGCATTGCAAATACAACCAAGTACAAACATTTTTGTAGAAATTAAAAACAAGCTTGTAAGAATTTATACTTTATTGATTGAATGTAGTAAATAAAAAACGTAAAATCATTTTAAACTTTCTTTTACAGTAAAATAATAATACATGTATTTGATAACAGCGTAGTTAACATTTTTAACTCAAAATAGGCATTTACAAAAAGTGTAAATGTTCCTAACTTTCCACACATTAATTCTGCAAGTTTCCAATTACTGGTCGTCTGGTATCTTGAATTTGTATAATCTTAATTTATTTTATTGGATGGATCATTCATAAACATAATATAAGCAAAGTTGATATTGAATTCTCCTCTATTTATTGAAATTACGTTCGATAGTGATATTTATATTACTTGTGGAACAGAGTAGTATAGCATGTTTTATAAGACGGACACTAAAAAGTTAAAATTAAAATAATTAAAATATCCGACTTTATTTTAAAAGATTTTTTAACAGGACACACGTCTATTAAAGTAAAAACACGTGAAGATAGCCACAGTTTTAGTGACGTCAATCCAAATGAATATAATATATAACTGTTTTTATAGGAAAATAAAACTGTTAATTTTATTATTTTTCTTACAATTTCATCATATTTTTAATTTAATTTTAATTTAATTGATTGTTAAATGAATTTAAAAAAAAAACAAAAAATCGTACTCAGTACCTAAAATGCGACGTTTGAATCACGTTTGAATCGTTTTAGCTGTCAAACGGTAAATTATTAAATGCACTTTACGCACAATTTTATAAATATATATTTTAAAATATTTGGAAAAACCTTATTAACAATGTAATTTTTATTACAATCGATTGTGGCTTAAGCCCATATAAACATAATATTTAACTTAGACATGCCACAGAAAAAAAAAATTTTAAATATCACATAATTATTTCACATTTAAATATTTTATCATATCAAGATGGGTAGTTAGCAACGGTAACTCAGTTACTCAACGCAACCAAACCTGCTAACTACCCATCTTCATGTCTTTTGATTTCTTTTTCTTTGTTCTCCTGAAGAAGCTACATACAATTGTAGCGAAACGTCGAGATGAACCCACTTTTGGGTCACTCACAAATGACACGGTCCAAACCCGGAAGACGAATAAACTATAATTCTGACTCTGGCCGTGGAAGCCTACGATTTCAGTTTTTATGTTATAACTGTAATTTGTGCGAATACGTTAAAAAAATTCAACCCTCACGTACAAAATGTGGTCCATGTGACACACAACTTCTGTGAGAACGGAGTTTATTTAAATATTGTACAAAATATGTAAATTTATATTGTAAGATATTTTTTTGTTACAAATGAACTCTATTATTATTATTATTATATTCTACACCACTGAACAAGAAATTGTCTCTTTTCACTGAATCAATAAACCGAATACTTTAGATTTATTTTAACATAACTGTTCATAACAACTTCTAAAATACCTCGTAATATTTTAAACATTATGAACTAACAATTGAAAAACCGTTATTTGCACTCAATCTATAATTAGAAAAAATAAGGAGAAAAACTATTTAGCGATGCAATAAAAATTTTCTGTCATTAACGCATAAAAACAAATTTTTGGTGGTATAAAATAATGGTGTTGAATAAATTATAGCCATAAACGTTTTTAATTCGAAATTTATTATCAATCATGTTATAAAAGGAAATAATCGGTACTTTTAGTATATGGTATGAAATAAAATGTTATTGGCTTGACCTACAAGGAGTTAAATTCGTAATAATAATATTAATAGTAATATATTGTTGTTTTTAATTTTTATTTATGAGTTTTTAACAATAAGGAGAAAAGAAGCGTTTTAAAATAGTATTAGCTTCTTGCTTGTTTGTAGTGTATATTAACAATTTTCATATATAGCATTTTTTATATAAAAATGCTTGCACGTCATTCAAGATTTCCGACGCGACCTCAGAACCCCACAGCGTTTCCAAAACATCAAAATAGTTAGTAAGTGAGGAATTCTAAAAAAGTCAAGTATTTGTCAAACTTTTATATTAATAGTAAATACACTTAGTTTTAAGACTACTGCAACACACTTAAATAATCTATCTTATATAAAAGTCTATCAGCTTTCTACAGACTATTTATTTAGTTTTATAATTAGTTTTTAAAAAGCTGTTAATCTAAATTTAATATGTATTTATAAATACAATTAATTAATCTATTATATTGTAAGAAATCAAAACATAAACAAAATTTTTACTTTAAAAATGCGGCAACGCCGTATCAGTTGCGTACAATGGTCTAATCTAAATAATCGAAAGAAGTTTCGGAAGAGTTATTTCATAAAATTTATATTATTAATAATAACAAATGTTTTTGGTTATCTTATAAGCTATGTACTTCTGTGCAAAATAATTATTGTGACCCTTTTGCATATAGTGTGAGCATATATAATAACTTTCTTTCATTTACCACATGAAGAAATAAGCAATAAAATACAATATGATGTAGATGCTAAGAGAAATGTTGTACATTAGACCAAATATTTACTATGAAGTGATAATTCATGAGTTTCTCCTAAATTTCTTATAGTTCAATTAAATTATTAAGAAAAGTTTGTTGTCATAATTGAATATGACTAGTTTGTAGAATAATAATTTAATAAAAACCGATCACATGCAATAAATGAAATCAAATCAGATGCCATGATTATTTTTCCCAAGGATGGTTCGTATTTAAGGATGTTGGGAAAAAATTTTTGGGCAAAAGATCTTAATGGCATTAAGATCCTGATTAGAACAACAAAGTTAAAAGATTAAGAAAATTGTTCAAGATTTAGTTAAAGCTCAAAGGTACATTTTTATCACTTCCACATGGAATATTTTTCTGAGATTTCGAGAACTGTGGGTGAAGAAGAACGTTTCCATTGAGATATTAATGAGATGGAAGATAGATATCAGAGATATAAACATAACATGATGGCTACCAGACAACTCCAGGTAAATATACTTTAAAATGTCTTGCTAACAACCAAATTAAAGTTCAAGCTGATTCATTCAAAATCTAATCATTAATCGTAAAATCTTTATCAGAAAAAATACTCAGTATAATACCATACTTACCAACTAAACAGTATCATACCATAGTTACCAACCAAAATAAAACCGCGGATTCTTAGTTGATATAAACTACTACTTTATGGTACAAAGGGACGTCCAGATAGTATTTATGAGCGAAAATGTACCAATAAGAGTCTTACAGTAGAGTAGAGTAGAGCATATGTCTATATGCACTACTTATATCTCTTTCGAGTAATGCCACTGGAAAAAACACATACCCAATTTGTGAAACAATGTGACGTGCTACAGCAAAACGGAGTTCATTTTTGGATTAAGCGCATCAAAAACCATAAAAGTCACTTAAAATTATCAAAAAAGTTTTTTAAAATTTTTATGGACCACCCTGTGTAATTATTTGGCGAACAAAGATTTTTGATTATTGAAGTTTCTTTGGTACACATATTAAAATAAACTATTGAATGTGTTTAACTTTAAAATTTATAATAGCTGCCTAAATTATTAAATGACTTTCTCAAATCAATGACGCAACAGTAGCTCATTTTTATTTCAGTTTGCTTCTGTTTTTTACACAATAATACTAATACTTGCTATCTATTTCAGACATAGTTGTCCAGTAACGTTTAACAACTCAGCAACTTACATCTTCTTTGGCAGCATTAAACAAATAGAGGAATTTGTCAAATTCCAAGAATATTTAGAATCAGACGAAGTAGATGCCATATTTGTACCTCTCGATGGATCTGTTCCGACAGGTAAGAGCAAATTATGACATACACATGAAAATGTCAAACCATTAACAAAGCCTTACAGGAATTTGATATTAAGTCGAAAGTAGTTTAAAAATTTGAATAATATCTATTTCTTCGTACTTTGAAAGATAAATATACATGTACGAGTAAGGTAAATTCGAGTAGCCGATAAGTACTTTTCACGAACCTGGTGGAAGATAGACTTACTACAGGGATTAGCGAACCTTCTCCTAGGCAAGCACCTAATTTCCTCCCACTCCGCTCCCTAGGGAAAACTAAGGCCCAACCCCAGTCTCGGATCGATCCCTTACTTATCTCACTCAAACACAAAAAGGAGTGGTGCGCCACTGTGTTACCAATGTCCCATGAGAACTGTGATATAGTAAAAACAGCCATTGCCATCGTGTTACCGGGAGGAAAATATCACCGTATATGGAATAATAGGACTATCCAAAACGTATATGAAAGGCAGCGGCCACTTTACAATAAGCGGTAGAAACATCATATCCTCTTTTTTATTCAAGGCATACAACATCAAAGTTTACAAGGCTTGGCTTTAATCAGCGTGCGATATAAAAAATATGTACTGAGCTATCACAATATGAATAGCAGAATATAAAGCAGAATACGTAAAGGTGTACGATAAGGATGCATTCATTCACCCATTGTGCTTAATTCACTCTCACTTAGGGAGAGCGCCCACCAAACTGGCGTGGCAAGTGGCAAGTAACAAGTAGCACACGTCTAGCATGTTATTTAAAATGTAACCAATAAAAACGAATAATTCAGCGCACACCAAAATGACAGTGACGTCATTCATTCTAATCATTTAGATCCTCTCATCTAATGAGAGGACCTAAATATCGCTTACTCCGGTTAATCATTCAGGGCAAAATCGAAGGAAAACGTTGGGTCAAGTTTCAACGTTGTTGGAAGAAGTTGGGTTCCAACGTTGTTGGAAGAAAACAACTGTCCTGGCTGCGTAACATTAGACAATGGACAGGTCGAACGGTCGAGGAACTGTTTCATCTAGCTGCCGACCGAGAATCATTTCATCAGCTTGTCAATATGATGATAGCCAACGCTTGAATACAAGCACTTCACACAAAGAAGAAGATTAGTTAATGGCGCCATCTACCCATCAGGTCTTAGACTTCAATGAAGTAAAATTGTCTACCATTTCGAAACTATTAATTTTTCTGGAAATGAAGACCATAGGTATTTGCTCTGTCTATGATTACATCTCGTTGAAAGGTAGATTGATTTGCTAATTTGAGTTAATTAAGTAATCATTTTTACTAAAAAGAGTCAAGAATAAATAAAATATGTAATACAGTTTTAACTTTAATTAGAATTTCATTATTTTGCAGGATTGCCCGAATCAAGTTTCGTTATCATACCACCTCATCATCCAGCATTAACGAAGTATAAAACCACAGAAAATATTCTCCCATCACCCATGTTCCTATCGACGGCGAAAGCCATTCTTACGTTTTCGAAAAATATCGAAAAATACGTAGAAAAGAACTGTAATGATACTTCATATAAAGTTAATTGCCTAAGAAGCAAATTTAATAAAAGATACCGACCAGTATTAATGTCGCCGAATGGTATTCTTGATATTTTAAAAATTGAACCCCTAACTTCAAACTTTGTCTATGATATTTACAGAGTCGAAAATGATACCTCAAATATCAGCGTACTAGCTCTAAGGAACAACTTCCTTCAGCCTTACACAAAAATATTTTCGTATAACATATTTTATGATAATATAACACTAGTTGACCAATCTTTCGAAGACAGATCTCCAAACGTTTCTGTAAACGAAGCAACCGGCAACTGTCTGCATTATTTTAAGGAAAAACGCTTCACATTCTTCATAGATAATATTTCTAACCTTTCGTTTAGATCTGAAGCTTGGGTCTATGCATTTCTCTCTTTATCTCTTCTAGGAGTAATATTCTGCATGTCCATTATTATATTTCTACTAATATGTATCTGCAGAAGAGATATCTTGGAAGGAAATCCAATTCTCACAATTTCCCTTCTAGTAGCCGTTATGATATTATTCTGTTCTGTACTACCTTTCAGTCTACAAGACAACAGTTCTACGAAAAATCCTCTTTGTTTAGCTAAATCTTTAAGTATTACACTTGGCTACGCTATGGTGTTTTCTTTACTTCTTTCAAGGTGTATTCTTCTGGCTACAGCCTCTAAAGAAATCGGATTCATGTCACACATAGCTGGACCAGTACAAGCATTTTTATGTCTCTTCATCTTTGGTGTACAAGCTGCACTAAGTCTTCAAATAATTGGAAAATGCCAAGAAGTGTTTGCCAGACAATCTTTTATTTATCTATTGAGCTACAACATTATGCTGCTGTTACTTTTACTCTGCCTTTGCCCTCTTATCTTCAAATGCGAAAGAAATTACAGGGAAGGGAAATATTTCTGTATCGCGATTATATCTGTTACAATCGTGTGGTTAATTTGGCTACCAATTTATATGTTCTACGATGAAGGCTGGACAGAACCAATGCTTTGTTTGGGACTGGTTGGTACAGCTGGCGTATTTTTGGGAGCCATATTCATTCCAAGGACATACCTGATGACCATTGCAGCAGCCAGGAACAAAATCACCAGTACTTTGCCTTCTCTAAATACAGCGAATAGTATTGTAGATATATATAGAAGCAATACGCAGGTAATTTTTTTATTTATATAATACCAATAATAATATAACGATTCATGGCAATATACAAAATCTCGGCATACTAATACATTTCTTAAAACACTTGATAAACTTTTAGAGAACCAAAAAACAGTACACGGTAGACATTACAATATAATACAGCAATCACATATCAACAAATTATACTCATAAATAAAATTAATAAAAAGAGAATTACAACGAAAAACAGAAGGAACCACAATTGCAATTGAAGACCGGGTGATATCAACCAAAAATTACATGAAACATGTCTTAAAAGACCATTACTAGACGACAAATTTAAAAGATGTCACCAATTTACATAAATAATAATCACTACCGGATATAAAACCCCCACTATAAAACCCCGCATTGTGAAATTTGGATTGTGTGTGACTTATCCTTCTTCTTCATCAGCTTTTCCCTTTTCAGGGGTCGCTGTTTCTTTCAGTCTTTGTTCTTGAATATTTTTTGAGACTGTAGTCACCCCCCCCCCGGCTCTTTCCCTAATCAAGTCATTTCTGATCCTATCCCTTTTAGTCTTGGTGAGACTAAAAGGGATAGGACTGGCGAGAAGGGATCTGGTGAGACTGGCCATCGCCAGTCTCACCTCACTCCTGTGTATATATATATATATATATTATATATATATATATATATATATATATATATATATATATATATTATATTTATTTATATATTTATATATACAGGGTGGTGAATCGTCAAACGGGCCATAGGAAACTCAATGAAAAATTCTAAATTGTTGAATTCCCGCTTCTCTAATTATTTTACACCAAAAGTCATCGGAAACTATTTGTAGAGGACTCAAATATGTATTGAAAACAACTGTTAAAATTATTCTACGACTTAAACGTATTCCAAAATTTTGCTAAAATATAATACATTTTTCTGCGAAAAAATGGGTATTACGTGTTGCGTTTTGTCATATTATTGTCTCTGATATTTGACAATATTAAATCAATTATTTATATTTATCTATGATTTAAATGGCCAAAATTTTGTGATTTATTGTTTAAAAAAATGAAGATGATTAAAAAATGTACTCAGTTGAGGAGAAAAAAGCAATAATAAAAATGTTTTCTTCATGTTTTATTATAACATTTGTTATAGTTTTATGTTTAGAAATTATCATATATTATTATTAGGGATAAAGATCACAGTAACAGTATATTGGAATTCATTGAATTGTTGTATAACTTAACTTAACATGGAATTAAATTTTAGTGAATTAGAATATCTTACGGATCGCTCTATGGCCTGAATACAACATTATGCGATTTTTCGTCAACTGAGTACATTTCATTATATTGATCGATTTGTAAACAATATAATTTATTGTTCACAAAGTAATAATGTTCATTAGTAGTAGTATTTAGTAAAATTCATGGTTTATAATTTAATCATAAAATAAAAAAATGACAATTCAAATTGTCAAACATCTGACATAAATATGATAAAACACATACGTCCTAATATATATTCTTGCATTACGTGTGGTCTAACTTTTAAGGGTAGCCTGAAAAATGTATTATATTTTGCAAAATTTTGAAGTACATTTGATTCGTAGAACGGTTTTAACATTTATTTTTAATTCAGATTTTAATCCTCTACAAATAGTTTTGTATGACTTTTGATCTAAAATAATTAGGGAAGCAGCAATTCAACAATTTAAAATTTCTCATTGAATTTCCTATGGTCCGTTTGACTATTCACCACCCGGTATATATATATATATATATATATATATATATATATATATATATATATGTATATATATATACATATATATATATATATATATATATACGAAAACTATATATAGAGCTAAGATTAATACTATTACAAAAATTAATATTAAACTCACCAGTCTTCTGGGTTAAACCGCGTCGATATCTATTTTGCCGAGCTTTCGACATCCTCTCTGATGTTTTCCTCAGGGCTTCCGAGGTCTCAGTCTCCCGACAACGACTTTTGTACTTCCCCGATTTTTCGACCACAAAATACCACGCTCCACAAACATATTTTCTTCCAGCAATTCTATGTCCCCAAATATTCCTCTTCCTCTACACCACATATACTCCATTTTCGACCTGCTAACCTAAAGTCCCCTCTCTTCAAATAGCCCTTCTTCAACACTCCAACTTCTCCAATATTTAAATGCTTTCCCCTACTAACACGATATCATCAGCAAAAAGCATTGACCAAGAAGTCCCCTCCTTTAGTTTCTCTGTCAGTACACAAGATTAAACAGGTAAGGTCTCAGAAAAGAGGCTTGATGCGAACCAACTGTCACTGGAGAACTTTTGGTTAATCTGACAGCAATCCTTACTTTGGTGTACGCTCCCTCATACATAACTTTCACAAGCCTTGTATGCTTTCACGGACCCATTTCTCTCTTATACATCTTCATAGCTCTTTTCTAGGAACTTCGTACGCTATCTCAAGATCTATAAATAGAATATTTATGATGGGAACGAGACTGTCCACTTTGCACCATCCTCCACAGACTCTGGCACAGTAATACATGAAGTCCAAGTTGCTTGAAACGAGGTGCCCCAAGTAGACATCGATCATCTCATTTTGTCAGTGCCCAGACGTACGCAGGAGTGTATTCAGCTACGGGATCGTCAAACATATTATATTTTTTTTTTGGTTACTTGTTAATAAAAATTCTTGACAACGTTATTGTTTCATTCTTGATGTAAATCTACCATTGCCAAAAATTAAGTTCAAGAAATTATTCCTTCTGAGTGTAACACTTCTAATGTCACTGAGTGTATTTGCTTAAGTTATTGTTTGTTCTGAAATCTGCTGTTTGGGTTAGGATTTTTCTCTGGCGGTAAAAAGACCAAATCTAGGTCTTTCTTGCAGTCTCTGGTTTGAAATTTATGTATTTTATTATTGTTTTTAAGTTGTACCCATTGTTTACTACTATTTGCTTAATGATTTTCAATTTTATGGTGAAGTTATTTTTTGAGATGGGAATTTCTGTTAATCTACGTAATATGCTATGGTAGGTTGTTGTAGGTATGGTAGATTTATGAAATACAAAGAACTCATATTTGTTTTCAAGTCTCATAATTTTTAAATTTAGAAAAATTATAGATTGATTTTGATATACACAAATTAACCAAACCTGATCACCAATAAGACATGTAGTTTCTTTTTATACAGCTCCATCATATAAAATTTAAAAAAAACTATTATTTATTATTAAAAACTGAAATTATTTAGAATACGATATTTGACCATGTACTTAATGTTTTAGTCAGAAATCCTTCGCCTTCCTGTCCTTGTTTCCTACTTTTTGCTGTAAAATTATTGCAGCAATCCATATCTTTCGCTGTTCCTCATGATGTGATCGAGATATTGGATTTTGGCTATTTTTATTATAATTAACAGCTCTTTGTCTTTTTGTATTCTTAATAAAACATTTATGGTTAGAAACATGGTCAGTATAAAGTATTTTCAGGATTCGACGATAAAGCCACATTTCGAAAGCCTCAATTTTCTTGCAGTTAGCTTCTCTGAAAGTCCACGACTCAATTTCGCATACGAAAGATATAACATCGTAGTAACCTGTAATAATGTACTGATATGTAATCAACTAAATATTTGGCTTTATCTTTAACCACTACATACGCCCGTTACGTTCAGTCAAAAATCTAGTTATTCCTATCAGGACCTATTAAAAAAGTACAACAAACGGTCTAAAAAATGAAGCATTTATTATGGAGCAAAAGTAAATCATTATGAATTAAAAACGGAGCAAATATTTTTTTTTGCTTTTTTTGCTTCGAAGGATTCGCTTTTGCTTTATACTTTGATCGAATGTACCATTGTTCCTTTTGTGCAGAAATAGTAAAGTAATCTCATTATCTACAACTAGTTACCTAACTTTTAAAAATAAAAATTGACTACAAGTGATAGCTGGATATTGTATTAATTAATATGTAAGAATAACAGGTAAATAAACATTATAGGCCCTATAAACATATATTTTTAATTATCAATAAATATCAAATTTCGAATAATTTTTTAATCACCAACAATGGTAACATGGCAATTTTAATCTCATCAACAACGGCAACTTTCCTTTATGAATAAAAACTGGAGGTCAGTATCACATTTGACTGATCAAGGTTAATGACCTTAATTGCATCAACAATTGTACAACGAACACACGAAAGTGTCGTTCTCTATAAATAGAAGGTATCCTTCTACTTTCTCTCGACTGTAAAAAGATGTGACCATAAATCGTATCAATAATTTTGAGAATGTTACTACTGAAACAAACACGGTAAAGGTTGGAATGCAATCTTGTCTCAAAATGTGTACAAACGACTATTAATCAAACATAATTATTATTTATAGTGTAGTTCTTAATGGTTGACAGCACAGTACCCTCATTTCAAAAACATAATTAGCTCAGTACAGAGTGGTAGAGCATAGTAAGTGATTGCTGAAATTCTAACGCAAAAGCAAACAGATGAGGAATTATATTTTCTGGGATAATTTATACTGATAGTATATACATTTGTAACAACCCTGTTTTGGAAGACAACTTTCTTCTCATCCGTACACTACATTAGAATTAAGCGAATTATTAAACATAAAATAAAAAACAAAAAATCTCAAAGCTTCCATCAAATCCCTGGATTTCTTCTGAAAAAAATTGTTTCTTTTATAATATAGTTACTAACATATTAACTAATATATCGTTTTCAAATTGTGCCTTTCTAGTCTATAAATACATATTTATAGACTACAAAGCAGCCTTACGACTCTGTGAATAGAAGAGAAATGTTCAAAACAATGAAAAAGCTAGGAATACCAAATTAATTGGTAAATTTAACAAAAGTAACTCTTGAAAAAGTTTAATGTAGAGTACGAATTCAGGGGGAACAGTCCTTTTCTTCACGTACCATGTCCTTTTAGAACGTTGGTAACCATCATAGCTATCTTAGTTT